CACCATCTGTACGTGGAACTCCTTTCCTCTCTTGGAACCGCGCCGTTCCCCAAACCCAGCCATCCTGGGAGAGTCTGCACGTTGGTCTCTTCAGAGGGCCGAGCGGTGTGTGTTGAGCAGAGCTGACCTCGGCGGGGGCAGCAGACTGACGGACTCTGTGAGCCGAGCTGAGAAGCCTTGGTGTTTTAACACTCACAGCACAGGACCGTGCGGCCCCCGTGTGGGTGCCGCTCCTGGCAGACCTGCAGAGGCAGAGACCGTGAGTGCAGTGGCGAGAATGACTTTGAACGAGGTGAGGGCTGCTACTCTGCCCTGTCTGCTCCAACCTATCACCAAATGACCGTGTTCAAAACCATTTACACTTGAACTAGCTGCAGACTTGGAGACATGGTACAATAGTACGTAGAGGGTCTTGGACCCCTCACCTCACCTCCCCTGAGGCTAACGAGTAAGGTGCTAACAATGACCATTTTCCTTAAACCAGCCAGCCCTAATGCAGCCTCAAGATGGTCTGTGCCTGGAACCTCACTTTTTAAAGGTGCTGGGTTTACTCCACAGTTTGGCCCCAAAGATTCCTTTGAAAGGTGTCAAGGCGAGACACAAAGGTCCTAGCGCGGCAGGACCTGGAAGAGCCAGGGGCTGTGAAGGCTGGCAGTGGCCCTTCCAGAGAGATGCTTCAGAGCAGGGGTGTCCAACCCCACGGCCAGACGGCTGTGAATGCAGCCAACATAGGATCGTACATTTACTTAAAACATTATGAGGTTTGTTGTTTTTGTTAGTGTTTGTATGTTTAATGTGTGGCCTAAGACAACTCCTCTTCTTCCAGTGGGGCCCAGAGACGCCCAAAGTTTGGACACCCTGGCCAGGGAAACCTGATTGGGGCACCGAGAGGTTTAAAGGCTGAGTGAAAGCCAAATCGGCCCTCTTTTTCCCTAGTGTTTTGCAATGCTGAGTAAGTTGGACAGTTTGACCCAAAAAGGGAAGGGAAGTAGTGTGGGACAGAAGAGGGTGACACTGCAGTCACTCTGTGCAATTCACGGCCGGTGGTGGCGCACGTGTGTGTGAAACGGTGCGCTTCACCCCGACCTTCTCCACGTCAGAAGGAAGTCGTTTCCTCCGCTGGCCCGCCTGACAGCCAGCAGGAGGGAGCGTGCGCGGGGCCTGTCTCCTGTCCCCGGGCTTGCCTGTGACACGTGCGTTCAGGAACCGCGTGGGATTCTCAGTGACTTCTGCCCTCTCCACATTGCTCCAAAGGGATGGCTTTCAGTAAGACAGCGATAAGTTTGTTTTCACAAAGAAAGCCGTCCCCTCGTCGGGGCATAAGGGAAATGCTTTTCCTAGACCCCAAAGCTCACTACGCCATTTAAGAAAGCAGTTAAATGTATTTCCATTTTTATGTCCCTAAGTGGTCTCTCAGGGCGAGCTCGTAAATGAAATGTTTCGTTTCTTACGACTTACTCTCAGAGGCAAAAATAAATAGCTCAGCAAGTCCACACTCAGTGGGGGCGATCGCAGGACACTTGGCTGCCCGGACACCACCTGCTGATTTCACTGGGAAATGACGGTCCTTTGGGGAGGGAGTAGGGAAGGAAGGGATGGGGGACGGGAGATGTCTGAGCCTCGTTCCCCTGGGAGACTGGGCGGAGGAAGCCACCAGCATCAGGGGCTCTCTGTCCCCGACTGGCTGTGGCCTGGCCAGCCGGGACCCAGGCTCATTTGGCCGCCGGATTCAGCCTTCGTTACTGTGTTCACATGACGCGTGCTTCTCCTCAGAGGCACCGGGGACTCTCTCCTGCTCTGATTTTCAAAAATAACTTCAAAGGGAGCAGTGTTCTTCACAAAAGGTGCACGCATGGCCACGTGTGTCCAGCGGAGCTGGGGCTGACGTGATTGAGCTTTGTGAACAGCTCGGAGAGAACCAGAGGAGTGATGTCAGCCAGGCGAGGAAGGGCTGCCAGCGGCCCGGCAGGGTGGAGAAGCAGCCCGGAGCCATTTCCACGGGAACCCCACAGCCCTGCAGTTCACTTCCTTTTCTGACAGGGGACCCCGGGAGGCATTTATATCTGCCCCAAATGGGGTTTCCAGATCTCGTTCTGGAAGAGACTGGGGTTGGAGGGAGGGGCAGGGCTGACTCGGGAGGCAGCGAGTGGGGGAGTCGTGGGTCAGGTCAGCCCCGCGCAGCCTCCAGATGGGGGTTCCTCGCAGCCGACGTCCTGAGGACACAGAGTGACAGCACTGTGCCCTCAGAGCCCTTCGGTGCTACGAGATCCCAAACTCTGCCTTTCCCACGGTAGACCTGACCTTTGATCACACCGAGGAAGCACTTCAGATTAGCTCTTTAATGTTGTTTGTTCATCCGCTTCACAACCCAGCGCCAAATCAACTGAAGTCCAGTGACCACTGAGTTGAGGTTCAGGATTTGCTTCTTCTGGGGCCTGGGATTTCCACCTTGACCTTACTTGTATCCAGTGAGTCCCAGGCAGGTTCATACTCGTTTTCTGTACATTTTTGTAAAGAGTGGAAAGGTCATCATATACTCAAGTTATTGCCCAAAAACAGTGGTCAGAGCAAGAAGGACGATGCTGATTGTTACTCTATTATAGTATTACCTGGCGTTAAGATTAATCTTAGCCATATGAATGTTATTCTATAAAATGGAATTACATAAAGTGCATAAATATCTTGCTCGTTGTATGCATAGGTGAGTTTATAAAAATAGATGACATGCTAAAAATAAAAATAAACAGGTAATACTATTGCCTCATTATAGTAGTAACTAGATTTCCCAGATGAGACCGGGCAGCCGCTAATGGTGGAGGAGGGCTGTGAACAAGGCATCTGGCCCCAGGGACAAGGTGCTTGACTCTATGGCCCATGGTCGAGGTCACTGGAGTCCCTATGGGCATCAGCGAGCCCCGCCCCTTCAGAGGCAAATGCAGGGGAACAGTGTGAATGAGGGGTTTGTTGGTGGGCCCCAGGGAAGTCCCCTCAGGAATGGTGGCCCCGCACTGAGGGCAGTGGTAGCCCCAGAACCCCGGGCAGTGGAGCAGAAGCTGGTTTAAGGTGTTCGTTTCCACGAACCCAGCTCTCCACAAAGCCGCTGCCCGTCTAGCGACCTTCGGAGCTTGCAGAGTCAAAACAGCAAGCATCCTGAAACACAGCGTGTCTCTTTACCCCGGCGTCTTTGCCCCTTATGAGAGCTAGGCACCTCTCCGTAGGGAGAGAACGGGGTTCTGGTAGAGAGTCCCCGAGAGGCAAGGAGCGAGGGAGGTAGGGCAGAAAAATGTTTGTGGTGACTGATGAGAATGGAACCCATGTTAATCCCTAGCTCTTCATCCATCATTAGTTGAAAGAGGCATTCACTAGACACCTACTGTGTGCCAGGCATTGGCTCAGTGCCCCCCGCGCTCCGGGCTATCTCAGGCCAGTGCCAAAGCCGTTGGCATCACAACTGTGTCCGTAAGCTGAGGAGAGTGAAGAGCTGATGGAGGGAGCGTGGCGGATTCGGGGTCTAGAGGTCAGAGTGCAGGGCAGCGGGGAGGGTGGAGTCTGGACCGACAGTGGGGCCAAGCCCTTGGAGGGGCCGAGACCGCATTAGATTTGCTCTGCATTAGATTTGTCTCTCGGACAGTGTGGAGCACGGTTGGGAGAGAGCGGGCTGAGGGCCGGGACCCAGCTGGAGATGGTGCAGACCCGTCCCTGGGCAGGAGGGCGTGGCAGCAGGGGGGCTTCTGGGAGGCGGAGCTTTGTGGTCAGCGCCGAGGAAACCGGTGTGCCGGGGCTGCCCGTGGTTGCTGGGCCTGGCAATGGGGCTGAGGGGGAGGAACCTATGGCTTCCCCTGAGTCGGGCGCCACAGTGGAGGTTCACGACAGGAAATGGAGGCGCGTGTACAGGGGCTTGTGGTCAGGTCCGGAGCAGGAATGGGGCAGGGCAGGAGCGGCGAGGGGGAAACCGTCCGGAGGCAGCAGGTGCCCTGAAGAACTGGGGGCTGGGGAGGCTTCGAGGGCCTCCGCGTGGGGTCTCCTTGGCCACAAGGAGGAGCGCTGCTTGGAGGTGGGCCACCTGGCCTCTTCCCACAGAATGTGTTCCTCCTAGGCACCTGGACACGCCGGAAGTGACACAGTCCAGCCCTCGAGGGAGTTAAAAACGTCCTGAAGGTGCTGGCCATGACATGTGTCCCCTGACGGAACAGAGGCAGGGCGATGGAGCCCAGGGAGGGGGGCTCAGCCTGGAGATCAGAGGTCTCTGACTGGGGAGGGTCAAAGCGAGGTGGGGACAGAGGAGCTGTGTGGGCAAAGACAGGCGTCTCCCTTGAGTTTGAGAACTTGGGGGGCTGGGGAGAGTTTGGGTTTGGTGAGGCTGTTGGGGCGTACAGTGGGGGCGGGGGACAGACTGAAAGGACACTGTGTCCCAGGCAGAGGAGCTGGTCAGTGACAGTGAGTGTGTACGGACGCACCTTCCACACCCAGAGGCCGGCCTGCCCGCAGCGCCTCGGAACAGCCCCCCCCGGGACCTGGTCCACAGAGAAATGTCACTGTGGCCCAAGAGTAGGACCAAGTCCAGCCCCGAGACAGGGTGAATAATTGAGCACCACTCCTCTGTCTCACAGCGTGAATGGGGCAAACGTAAGATAAACGATACTCTGCCCACTAACAACCAAACTGTAATAATTGTACGGACACACTGAACAGGAAGCATGGAATAGAAATGTTTCTTTTCAACGTGAGCAGAAGTATTTGCACATCAGAAGCCGAGGGAAAACCTTGCAGCGTGATTGGCATAGCCGGTCGAGAAGTCTGGCCATCCGCAAACCTTCCTGTCTGTGACCGGGGAGGCCGGGGGCCCACTGATGAGCCACAGTATCGCCACTTAATGAGGCCCGTGGACAGCCCACTGGCGTTTCTGTTTTCAACACTGTCTTCTGTGTCCAGTGGTGCTGGGGAGCCCAGCAAGCAGCGCCCAGTGCCCTCTGACCGGGGTCTCCGACCTTCTCTCCCAGGCGATTACACGTGCTGCGACTTGGTTGTGAAGTTAAAGGAGCGCCAGAGGAGCGAGGCCTCCGCCACACCCACGCCGGCCCCTGAGCCCACGCCCGCACCTGCACCCATGGCACCCCGGCCGGCACCCTCCGAGGAACCGGAGACCCCCGACCTGCAGGAAGACCTTTCTGAGAGCCAGCAGACGCCTGCCGCTGCCTCCTTGACCTTGCAGGTAAGGCCTTCTGCCTGCCTAGCTTTAGTTCCCGCCAAGGGGAGACCCTTCCTGGGGGTTCTGTGGTCCCACAAGCTCACTTCCGCTTCCGAGGCTGCAGACCTGACTCCCCTCGGCTGTGGCTGTGTGACTCTGAGCAGGTGCCCTGACCTCTCTGGGCCTCTGTTTTGACGGTGTGAGTTGTGGAGATAATGAGACCTACTCCACTGAATAAGAATGGGGGTCACATTATCTCAGCAGTGACAATGGCCACAGCAATAACAGCCTTTGCTGAAAAGCTTTGGTGCCCGAGTGTGGGGCGGGTCGCTTCATAGGTATTGGCACCTCCAGCCTCAAGGCCCCGCTTTGGGGCAGGGGTCCCTGTGACCCCGTCCTCAGACAGGGCCATGAAGCCTTTGGAGGGTGAAGGAAGTTGCCCAAAGTCCAGTGCATGGCGGTTTCCACTTGGCTTCTTCTCCAGGTTGTACAAGGAAGACGTGTACGTTTGTAAAGCTCAAAAGCACAGAGGTGGAGTGATGAGAAGGGCAGGCGCCTTGCAGAACGCCCTCGCTCCCGGTGGACTTGACAGCCACACCTTCTGGGAGGGCCCTCGTGACGGTGTAAACCGCCCTGCACACGGGGAGGTGGCCTGTCCCCGGCCCCTGCACCCTGGGACCCAGCAGGCTCACAGGGAGGGACTCATGGGGCCCTGGAGCAGCCCGAGCCTCCAGCCTCAGGACAGGTGGCCAAGGCAGCAGCCTCACCTGGCCAAGAGGCCATTCCCAGGGGCCAGCCCTCCAGGCCCTGGGGACTTGCACCAGGTCCCTGGGAAGGTCTGGCTCCAAGATGACCTCTTTCCTGGCCCAGCTGCCAGGGGTTCGTCCGTGAACAGAAGGGGCCCCCAGCGCCCTCCCCCTGGGAACTCTGAGCTCCCCAAGGGCCGGGAAAGGGATGGGCAGGGCCTCCACTGGGCCTTTGCTGAGGACCTACTATGTGCAGAGCTTGGGTACAGGTTGTGAGAGATACAATGTAGGTGAGACACAACCTGAGCCATCAGGAGCTCGGGGGCCAGCATGGAGGTGGACACGGCTGAGTCCCTCCTGCACGAGGTGGTCTGCGGGGCACCTGGATGCTCACGCTAAATGGGGGGACCCCAGAGCTTACTGGGAGAGCTGGGCTCGGGCCGATGGCTGTGGCTGGGGTAGTAGCCGAGGCAGGAGGCAACTGGAACAGAGATTTTCACGGAATAGCTGGTCGAGACGAGGAAAGGCGTGGCCCTGCCCCAGTGGAGCACCGCCCAGCTACAACGGGTCCGGTTTTTGCATCCGTCAAGTGGGGCGACCTCCGTCTGCCATCCAGCACCGGGGCGGGGATTCCCAGAGACGATGGACACCCACCAAACACCTGGCCTGACGGTGGTGCTCTTTGTCAGCAGACCTGTGTGGGCAGCTCAGTGCATGGCGTGTGCAGGGGTGTGAGAAATGGGCTGGAGAGGGAACATGGGGGATTCTGGCCTGCTCCGTGGGGCGTGCAGAACCACACTGTGAGGCAGAGATAGTTTGCCAAGCCCCTACCCCTGGGAGGGGACATTACATGGGGGAATGACTTGGGTCTGCACTGCCTCAGGCGTCTGGCCCCCAGCAGCAGCGGGTGGCTTGAGGTGTCCCGTCCCTGTGTCTGGGAGGTGGAACTTGGGGTGTTCCAGTTGGGGTGTTATAGAGATAAAGGAACTGACGGGGTGGAGGCAGGGACAGGCAGACGTCTGCCTTTGCTGTCGTAGCCTGGATGCTGGTGACAGTCCGCCGTGCCACTGTGGGGTACTGAGTGCTGGCAGGGACTGGGGGCCTGCCCGCAACAGAACTTCAGCCACCTTTCCGTGAGCTGTTGCCAGAAAACGGCGACACGCATGTGCGCTGCGGCTTTTGGTCTCTGAGCATCAACCTTCCAATCAGCTTCCTGACCATATCAGACAGATGTGCACCTTCCTGTGACCCTTCTCTTAAAAATAACGTGTTTTCTTGGCTCCCATCAGGAAGCCCTGGAGGTCCGGAAGCCGCAGTTCATCTCTCGCTCACAAGAGCGGCTGAAGCGGCTGGAGCGCATGATCCAGCAGAGGAGAGCCCAGCGGAAGGAGACCCCAGGGCCAAAGCAGGGCCCCCTGCCCGTCCGCGCCAGCAAGAAGCAGTTCACCGTCCCCCACCCACTTAGTGGTGAGTGCAATGGCTGGGGAGGCTGGTGGGGCTGGGGGGTTCTCAGGGCTGGAGCCCGCACCCCAGGGGCTGGTTTCCATGCTGCCGCTGGCGTACACAGAACCTGTGTTCACCCCGAGCACCGAACCCTCAGTCTCACATAGCCAACCCCGGAAGCCATCCTGTTTCGGGAGATTCCATGTGGGCACAGAACCCAGCAGATACAACTCAGGACACAGTCCTCCACGAGGGCCAGGAAGGGAGCCACACCACTGTACAGCCAGGGTAGCAAAGTCAAATTCTTGGCTCCTGACCGACATTTGCAAGAGACTCCCTTTGCCCTTCATAGATTGCAAAGCAGACCTCAGGGTGGGGGTCGGCTCCCACTTGTCCACATCAGTGTGCGTCCTCTTGAAGCCCCTTGTGTGTGGTGAGCTCCGGGCACAGGGGGCCAGCCTTTGGGGGGCCAAGGAGCTAGGATCCAGCTGAGCCTGTGGGGCGGCATTCCGTCATGCTCACCAGAGAAGGGGTCGTCAGGACGCCATCCCTCCAGGCCAGGAGCTGAGACAGCAGAGTGGGCAGGAGTGGCCTCTGTCCTCCCCTCAGGGAGCTCATAAACCAACTATTAAACCAGCAAGAACGACACGAAGAGACAAGAGCGAGATCGGGGCCCACAGCCCACCCTGATGGCCTGCAGCCGGGACCAGGAAGCCCAGAAGCTGGGGGGACTGCAGATTTACTCCTTCGGATGGGGGAACAAGGTCCTTCTTTCTAGGAAAACGTCCTGGCCTCCAGGACATGAAGTCACGTGTCAGAGGACAGAGGGGGTTGTCACAGGATTCCTGTTAGCCCCCACGGTCCAGCAGGCCCTGGCCCTCCTTCCCCAGAGCACTTTCGGGGGATAAGACCCTGGCAAGGGCGGTCTTGAATGCGACCTTCTTGTGGCAGGGGATTTTGCAAATGCCTGCAGCTCCTTCTGTGGGCACTTCCCAGCACGCTAAGGGAAGTGGACAGAAGGAATGTGCTGAAGGGTCGCCCCCTCGTAAACGGGACCCCCCCACCCCGCAGTGTTCCCAGCCAGCTGGCAGGCTGGGAAAAGGCTCTGTCCGCTGTGCTCTCTGGGGCTGTTGAGTCTCTGACTCAACAGGGAGCCAGCTGGGTTGAGGGGCTGCCCTCTCGGGCTGCCAGGACAAACGTTGCCACAAGCGGGAGTCCCCCCAGGGTGTGCTCTGGCTGCCCTTGTCCTCAGGAGGGCAGCAGGGGTGCCACTGGCGTGAGGGCCGCTGGCCGCACAGTTCTGAAGGTGCAGGCGGTCGGGGTAACGTGTGTTGTCCACAGTCAGGGAACAGCAGCGCCGTAGGGCTCAGTGGGCTCACTGGGCTCACACGTGCACAGAACATGGTACAGGCTATTGAAAGGGAGCGAGAGAAAAGCATGGGGCTTCCTTTCCAGTCTGACCCCCTCACTTTGTGGAGGAGAAATGGAGACCCAGGGGCATCTGGGGACTTCCGTGTGAGGTCACTGGTCAGCAGCAGTGCTGCCTGGGTTCCTCACCCCCTGGGCCAGTGCCCCCCCAACCCAGCTGTGCCCCACGGCAGGCCCCCAGTGGCCTGGAGCACCGTTTGCCCACTATCAGGGACACCGCCTGGCCCTCTGTGTGCGGTTCCTGGGAACCGCTGTCAGAAACAGCCGTGGGCTGCGTGGCGAGAATGACGGAAATGGATGCTCTCAGGGTCTGGAGGCCAGAGTCCAAAGCCCAGGCGTCCATGGGGTTGATCTGCCCTAGAGTCTCCGTGAGACTCCGACCTGTGCCGCGTGGCTGGTCTGGGGTTGCCCCCAGCAACCCGTGGTTTCCTTGACTCCCTGGCACATTGCTGCAGCCTCAGGCTCCGTCTCCAGTGGCCTCCCCTCTGCCCATGTCTCTGGGCTCAAACTTCCTCTTCTAGGGACACCAGCCCTTGCACCGGGGCCCACGCTTGTCCAGTACTGCCTCAGGTAACTCGAGGTCCTCTGCAAAGACTCTCTGCTCCCAAATACAGTGGCCGTCACACGTCTAGGGGCTCGAACCTGTCTTTGTGGGAGAGGCACAGTTCTATTCACTACGTCATCCTGTGGCGTTTTGCACAAAACTGATACAAGTGCACCTTCCTGTACATGAAAATCTCAAAACGGTGTATAGTGGAAGGTGATCAGACCTAGCCAACAGCTGCAAGTAACTGGGGCACCTTTCTACTCCCCACGTCCAAGGCAGTCCCAGTGGCCCACCTGCTGTCGGCAGGGCTCACATGCGGGTGTGAGGCCACCTGACCGTCCTGCTGTCCTGGGGGGGGGGGGGGGGGGTGGTGGTGGGGTGTGTGTGTGTGTGTGTGTGTGTGTGTGTGTGTTGGGTCATCTGAAGCAGACAGCTTCTGAAACCAGAGCCTCCTTCCTGTGAGCCCAGGCGGGTGAGAGGTGGCATGTGCGGCCCCTTGAACACACCTTGTCTTTGGCCGGTCTGCTGGCAGTCTGAGACTAGCGAAATGGTGAAATGCAGGTGGTTTTTGTACATGCCGAATTAGTTCCCAAATCGTGGGTGCGAATGAATGAGCTCTGGCTGCCGCGTCACAATGTCCATTAGGAAGGAGACTCAGTTGCTTTCCGAGGGGGTAGCCACCTCCCATCGGGGCTGGCCCAGCTGTCTCGATCCAGAACAGACTGGAGAGGCTCAGGTGGGAGCTCTGGCAGCTGGCACATGCCCACTGGGGCAGGGGCTGCCAGGACAGCCATCACCTGACGTGCAGGGACAATGACAACAAGGGCTGGAGGGTCAGCTCTGCTTCCTGTTGGCAGCTCTGCTTCCTGTTGGCTGATGAATTCTGAGTAGTTTTTATGGTCCCGGCAGTGTGCATGTATGTGAGTGTCGCGTGGGTTCCAGGGTAGAGGTGAGGGGACTTTGGTGCAGACCAGCCATTACTGAGAGACCAGAAGGTGGCATTAGAAAGGTCCCTCCTACAGCCCAGCCCGTTTTTCCTGATCACCTTGGTGACAGCGGCTTGAGTTCCCAAAACTAATTAACATGTGTCTCTTTCCCCGCCCAGGAGCCACCTGGGCCACCTTTGCGTGGTTCCAGCAGTGACACCGGGAGTGTCCTCACCTGTCTCTTAGCACGCCTCTCTTGAGAACCCACTATGTGCCGTGCACAGTCCCTGGTCTCAAAGATTTCCCCAGATCGTGAGGAAAAGGTGTAAAGAGGCAAGGATGTTGGGATTCGCTAAGTGTCAGGGTGGGAGCTTCCCTGGGTTGCCATGGAGACCCAAGCCATGGGCTTGCACTCACCTGGGGATGTGGAAGGCTCCTGATGGAGGAGCCCCCAGACTGTGTTAGGGTGAATCGTGGTGCAGGGTGGGGGTGCAGGAGCCCAGGAAGGAGAGAGCGCTGGGTGCTCGGCTCAGCTGGACCTTAGGGTGGGGTGTGGAATGCAGAGGGAGTCAGGGCCCGAGATGAGCCACGGAGGCTACATGGCATTGTGTGTGTGTGCTGCTTCCCAGTGCAACCACATTCTGAGCTCCAAGGCTGATCCTATAACGTGGGTCCGGCGAGATGGATGAGGTCAGTCCAGGGCAGGGACCTAGAGTGCACACGGGCAGCGGGGCCAGAGGTGCCTGGGTGGCAGAATGAGCAGCACATGGTGACTGCCGAGTGGAGGAGAGACGAGGGGACCCCAGGAACTGTGGGAAGAAGGCGTAGGCAGTCTCTGCTCTCAGTCCAAGGTCCAGCTCCAGTCTCAGGGCCTCTCTCTTCTTCCCGTCTGCTGGCCAGTCCGTCTCTGCCCTGTTCTGAGTGCACTCCTTGAGCCTGGCCCTCATTGTCCCTGCTGGGCTTGGGGCGCAGCCTCTGAGCCTCCCTGGATTCCATCCCCATTCTGCAGCCCAGACCCCCTCCTGCCTGGCTCTCCCCACCTCCCCCATCGTTACCCAGGTCGCAGTCTCCATCAGGGGCCCGAGCCCCTTGATAGGACCCTCACCTCTCCTCTCTGCCTGCTCTCACTGCCTGTCTCAAGTCCAGCCTCCTCCTTCACCTCTGCTGTCCACAGTGCGAGCCCTGGACCACGTGATGAGTTTCCCATCACAGTCAAGCTCTTTGCTCCTTACAAGTCACTGCTGCCACCTGCTCTCACAGCCGCAGCCAGGTGTGAGGCCTGGCAGTGCTCACAGCCCAGGTGGCCTCACTCCTGTCCCTGTTTACTCCCCTGTGTCGGTCCTCTGCACGGCTCTTCTGGTGGTCCCCTTAGCCTGTGAATGTGTAGAAAACCCATCAGGAGCATCCCCTTCTACCACAAAGCCCGCGCCCCACGCCCACCTGACTGCTGCCATCCACTCTCTTCCATTTGCGGACTCATGGCCCCTGTGTCCCTCTAGATCCCCTGCCTTCTTGCCTTCTTCATTTTGGATTATGGTCACGTGGGTATACCAGAAAACTCTCCCGAGGTGGTAAGCGCCGGGGGGCGTGCATCGCACCAGGTCACTCTGGGAAACCCCGCCGTATGCGGCAGAGCAGACAGTATTCATCGGAATTCCACAGCCCGCACTTCTGGGTGAGCCAACCGGGAGGGCCCTTGCAGCCACGCACCAGGAGAGGAGTGGCCTTCGCCAGCAGAGCTGCCAACTCCTGGCTGGAGCCAGTGTCACCTTAAACTGGCTTTGCATTTCCAGAGCACTGAGCTGGAGAAGTGGCCGCAGATCTGACCTGAGAGGGCAGAAGTCCTCGCAGTGACAGCCGTGAGCCGTTTGTCACGCAGCTCCCTCCTGGCTACAGCCTTCCGACCAGCACCTCCCTGGTCTCATGCACGCTTTCCCCTAAGATGTGTGATAATACTTGGGGGTGGCTCTCCCAATATTACTCACAAAGGAATTTTAAAATGTGCCTATTGGGGAACAGTAAACGGTTGCTCCGTGTGCGAAGAAAGCAAGAAGCACGATGTAGCTAAAAGGTCGTTTCCCCGATCCAGAGACATTTACATGGACATTGTCATTACTGCCCTTCTCAGACTGATGACAGAGGTCTTGTTTTTAACAAATCTGGGGGAAAACAGATCAATTTCTGTCCGTCGATTAAAAGTAGACCCAAGGAAAGGGTTATTTTCAATTACCTTAAGGAGGGTAAACACACAGAGTTGCAGAATGGTAAGAAAAAAATGACTTCGTCGGGGATTCTTTTGCCAGCTGCCTCAGTTTTGCTTTCCAAGTGATCTCCCCTCTGCCCTGCAGTGCTCCTCAGGGCCAAACCTCACAGTGACGCTGAGGACGTGAGTGTCCTCGGCAGTGAGGGGGGAGTGCGCCCAGCATCTCCACACCAGCACGGTGGGTGGTTCTCACAAAAGGCCGGGGAAGCCCAGAAACGGGGGTGAACAAGGCCTCTTCTGGCCATGGTCAGACATCGCTGTTTTATGGTCAAGTGTGCCATTTGGGTCACTGTTACTCTTCAAGTCCCTTTAAACAAGTAACTTGAACTTACTGTCTAAAACACACATTCATGTTCTTGAGAAAATGTGGGAAGAGTACAGCAGATTTTCCATATATATAACGTGTGTGTGTATGTGTGTGTATATGATCTGTCCAGATAGTATCCAGCCATGTACTATGAAAAAGACACATTTATCGAAGAAGATACAAGATACAAGAAACATTGTACACAGGACAATGACACCTCAGTCCCCTTCAAACAGGCACCTTGGGACCTCACACAGTTCTCCCAATCTCAAGGAGTTGCCTTGTCATATTTTCCTGAATCTCATCGATGGTCTGAAATCTCTTCCCTTTCAAAGGTGATTTTCGTTTGGGGAAAAGTCCAGAAGTCACAGGGTGCCAAATCTGGGCTGTAGTGGGGTTGAGTCACCTGAGTAATTTGATGTTTTACCAAAAAATTCTGCACCAGACATGATGCATGAGTGGGCACATTGTTGAGATGAAGCCGCCAACTTCTGAACCATCCGAATAGTTTCCAAGGAGGAATGTTTCAGCTTAAGGCAGAATTTCATGCAGATTCATTGCTCTGCTCACTCAGTCATTTTGAATGTGACGGCCACATCGTACACATGCTCTCAGTGGTGCCTTCTGTCCCCACCAACTAGTACAGTGAAGTCGTCCTTGTTCCCACACGTGTGTTCCAGTCCACTCTCCTTGGCTGCCAGGTTACATCAATGTCATGGAAACTGTTCTCATTATATCAACAATGGCGGGACTTTTTCCAGACAGACCTTGTATATAGATGAAATTCTATTCTGTAACCACAAATAACCTTGAAAACTGAGAACCGATTACAGCTATTCTTCTGTAGTTGTCTCTCCTCCTCAGCGACCTCACGCCTAGAACTATGGAAAATGCATTTCAGAGAAAGACTGATCCTGGCAGATTCCTTTGAGGAGTGTCCTGTATGTAGGAATCCCATGGAGGTCGCAACGCCTAACCTGTGTTAATGGCACTGATAATTCCCGTAGCAATGGAGACTGCTTAAATGTGTCTAACCTCATGTTCCCTAATTTTTTTTGACTTGGGAATGCTTTTATATAATTTTTGAGAGTCCACTTTGGGGCCATTGCACCGGGAACCTTTGCTTGTAGGAATACCTACCATGCTTTGCTGCAGAAACCCCAGCCGGACTTTCCGTCTGCCATTTCTCCCGGAGACCTGGGGCTGGGGAAGGAGGCCTCACCATCCCCACCTGCAGCCCTTTGGTCTAGCAGTGGCAGGAAGGGGTGCCTGGGGACCCTGGCAGGGGCTCTGGTATCAATTTCACTGCATAAAATCCTGCAGCAAGTCCAAAATCCTGCAGCAGCCCTGAGGGAGTGGGGAGGCCACTCCTCTGTGACCAGGAGCACCTCCCGCTTTGTTTTTTGCAAGTGGAATGGAGTAGGTGTCTTCAGAGACCTCTGCTCTCTGGCCTCATTGTCTCGCACGCCTGGGTCAGAAGGGCCAGAGAGCCTCAGTGCAGCTCCCACGGGACCTTGGCCCCTCGCCTGCATGGCAGCTGACGCGGGGGCTGGTTTCACAGTGACACCCGCCTCCCAGACCCCCAGAGCAGGCTGCCCACACCGTGCGGGCCGTCCTTCAAGTGCAGAAGTCCAAGGGAGGCAGGAAGTAATTTCAGAAAAATGAGAACATTCACCTGGCGCAGGATTTGCTCGTCGCAAGAGCACCTCGGAGGCAAACACCCTGTGCGTCTCATGCCTCCCCACCGGTGCGGCGGCACAGTGTGACTTCTGGAGTGCTCACTAGTCCAAGGCAGACCACTCTGCTGTGGCCTGCACCCCGAACGGGAGCTCCCACCGAGAAGAGCCGAGTAGAGGTGGTACGAGGACAGGACGCCCGAAGGCCCCGCTGCCCCAGCCCCAACGTGGACAGTCAGCTGCTCAGAGGCTTTGAAACTGGCGCAGTGAACAGCCTGTGATCTTGGATGAATCCAGACGGGCTGTGGGCCTTGTTTGGTGAAACGCCCTCCAGGGACTTCCCAGCCTAAAACCCACCCCATTTACTCCCGCAGGCAGGCCCTGTCTTTGATAGAAGGTTCTGGGAGGTGTGGACTCGGTATCTCCACCGCGAACTGGCTTGTCGCCTCCCAGCTGGATTCTCTCCAGCAGGTGCCTCTTGGTTTGGGTGTTTCTGAAGCCGGGGACGCAAGCCCCGAAGGGCTCTTCCAGGTGCTTGGGGGCTGCAGGAAACCAGCTCTGGCAGGGCATCGTCCTCGCAAACCCCCCGAGGACTTGGCTGCCACCCCGCTGACCTGTTCGACGGGGAGCGTGAAGCTTTGCGATGGAGCTGCAGGTGAGGGCTCTGCCCCGCAGACGCCCATCACACCTGCGTCCAGGTGGTCCTCGCCGCCTCCCGGTGGCACTGGCAGCTGTGTGTGCACATGTGCAAGATGAAGATCGTTACGAACGTGTGTGTTAGTAGTGATTTCTGGGCGCTGAGGCATAGCAGGTGGAGGAGGTTCAGGCAGCGAAACGGCTGAGGAGGCACGTAGCCCTCACCCGCTTTGGTTTCTTCTTGGAAACAGAACTTGGGAAGCCTCATTGTGGCAGCAGGTCCTCTAAAGAAGTAAACCACATTAGCAGTAATAACCCACAAAATTCATTTTCGAGAGTAGACCACACATACATTCGATCCGAGAGGTGGTAACACTTTTATTCCCCTGGGCACCGTCCTTCCATCCAGGGGGCCCCGCCCTGCACTCCAGCAGCCCCTCAGGGGAGGGGTGCGGATCCAGACTCGAGTCTGAGCCATTGTGGGAGGCTCTCTGTCCCTGCCCAGAGCGGGAGGCTTCGAGCTGTCACGTGTCTGCTTGCCCAGGACCCTGACTGCCTTAAGGCGACCCCCATTTCTTAGGGAGTGTCGCTGGGAATGTCCTGAGGCCCTGGGTGCTGGCCTGCCTGCCCGAAAGGCAGGGGGCTCCGGGGGGTGTTTGGCGGAGCACAGTGTCGTGGTGATTGTCCCTGGCTTTCCACACGCCGGGAAGTCGTCTCTGCCCTGGCAAAGGCCTTCTGATTTCTTCCTCCTCTGTCTTATTCCTCCTTGGAGTCTGGTCTTTGAAGTGAAGTGATGGTGCCATATTCTTTTTGTGTGTTGATGTGACTGGACAGAATACAAGCTCAGCCACGGTTGTTTCCACGTTGTACATCAGGAGCTGTCTTACACTTCCCCAGAGGGGAAGATGGTTCTTAGTCTTCCTGTCTCTATCCCACCTCCTCGAATATTCCCGGAAAAGTTGGCAGATTCTCAAGCCCAAGAAGTCGTCTGTGCCTCCACTGGGGTGCTTAGTGATGGGACATGCCAGTTTGGGGGGGCAGTCATAGAAACCCGGCGGGGTCCGTGCTGCGGACCACAGGGAGCTCGCTTCAGCTCTGGTCGGGGCGAGGGTGCCGAGCTCCCTGTCTGCGTATGCGGAGTGACTCGGGCGCACAGGCCGGTCTGTGGGTGTTTTAGAGAGTGAGACAGCTGCTCTGAGAGGCCCGTGCAACAGGCTCCTGGGGGCTGTTTGCACACCGGACTCTCGGCTAACGGAGGGAGGAGAGCCCTATGGGAATTCAGAGTTATTGCAAAAGGGTCTGCTCTGTTTTTCTAAAAACGTACCGTTTTAAGTGTGGCACCAGTAAGCATCTGGGGATGGGCAATACACACTTGTATCGAAAGACAGTCCAGACTCACCGTGACTTTTTGCCATGGTTCACTTGCTCACTCAAAGGATGCTGGGAAGACACTACTATTACGGGGTCTGTTACATTTTCCTGGTATCAGAAAGGGGCAAACCTTCCATTGGAGTGGATGCCAAGCTCCCGGGGGCTCAAAGCATGGCAGCACCTGCTCTAAAAATGCCCTACAGGGACAGTGCCCTGTCCTACCGAGTGTGGGGATGTTTGTGGGTGGGTTGCCTGTGCCCCTGGGCCCTGCCCGCAAGGCGAGGCGGAGGCACCCCGACCCTGCCCCCGCAAACCCCGACTCTCCCTCCCTCCCTACGTGAACACACAGAGGGGCCTCTGTCCGTGAGCTGTGTCAGATGCCAACCTGGTGCTTTATGCCCCTGGGCCGCAGTGGTCAAGACCCGCCTGTGGGTTGAGGTTTCCTTGGCATGTGAGTGTCTGCCGAGACCGCAGCGTCTGTGACAGGCTGGGGCCCGGAGGAAGGGTCAGGAACAGAGTACGCGTAAGTTCTCCGCAGTAATTCTGCAGACAGTGTGACACCATGCCTTCCGAAGTTAACCCTCTCTCCATTTTTTCCAGATAACTTGTTCAAGCCCAAAGAAAGGTGCATTTCGGAGAAGGAGATGCACATGCGCTCTAAAAGGTACCTGGCGGTTTTGTTGCGGGTCTGGGGTTGGGTCGGGTGGTGTCACCGATCCCCACCCTGTCCAGTGGGGCCAGTTTCCAGGTCCACATTTAAGGTCTGAGGTCTTCTTGGCCGTGAATTTGAAAAGCTGGCTTGCAGAAGTGTGCTTGTTGAGTTTAGCCTCCGAACGTTAATGCCGTTCTTGGAAAATCCTTCGGAAAGTGGCGGGTCTTGGAGGCCGAGCCGACCCGGTAATTGGTCTCTAGGAGACCTCCAGACTCGCAGTGGGGACGGGGCTCCCACCATCGCTCCAGGCAGGTGCTGGTTGGCCCTGTGCACCACCTTGTACAATTATCTGAAGGCAATTGTACAAGGTGGAGAGAAGCTGGATCTTCGAGGGCCCGGACCGTGGCAAGGCCTGTGGGAAAGGACCCCGACCCGGAGGCTGATGGCATGTGGGCTCCAGGGAAGCCGCCAAGGGCCACAGGCCTCCTTTCTGGCCCTGGCTCCCCGGCAAACCAGGCGGCCCGCTGCCCATGAACATGCCCTGCTCGGCTCGGCTGCTGGCTGTTCTAGATGCCCACTAATTCCCACCCACCCACCCGGTGCACACAAAGGCTGCCATTCTTCCTCGGACCCGGCCCCCTAATTGAAAGGGGATAACTCAGCAATGTTGGCCAAGTTCGCGTGAGCAGAATGTCATTAATTTGTAATTGAGTATCTAGCAGTGGGAAGAATTATGATAATCAAACCGAACTGAGGGGCCTTGGAGCAGCCTCGGTGAAAGGAAGAATGGGTGTCTCCCACTTCGGGCAGTGAATCCGCTGTTCCCGTGATGATGTTGTTTCCATGATAATTAGCCAGCTTGGATCATCGGTAGGAAACCTCTGGGTAAATGAGGACCTGTAAGCGAGGAGAAGGGGGACCGCCCCCTCAACGACCCGCTTCACGCCGCTCCAACCGGGGTTTTAAAACGCCACCGGGTTTTGAGACCTGCGGTTTCAGAAGTGCGAAGTTATGCGTGCCTCGTGCCAAAAGTATTCCCTTTCAATTTAGTGAAAACATTCAGCCAAATCCTTGCTTCTCAGTCCCCAAACCCAGAGCTGCTATGACGGAGCCTTCCAACTAAAATAATAGATTTCAAAACAGCGGCCGTGGACAGAGTGTGTCACCCCATCATTCTACTGGTGTGGAAACTGACACTTGGACAGGACCAGCGGGTGAGGCGATGGCCCTGTGTCCCAGCCCCCGGCCAGAGGCCAGGTCTCCGATGGAGCCAGGACCTGGGTTCCGCTCTGCTCAGTGGGCTGTGCTCTGGGTGGGCTCTGCCCGTGGCCCTGAGACTTCCCCCACCCACGAGGGCCCCCTGGCGCTTTCTTTCGTATCCTTTGTTATTAATTGTGTTGCTAAATCCCATTTTCATTTATAAAGTTCAAATGGTAGAGATGCAGCTGAAGTCCCTCATGACCAACTAGCCCCACCCCCACACCCCCCAGCCCTGGCCCCTCCCCAGAGATGGCCAGCTGCCCCCCTCCGGACCTCTGCCTGAAAGGAGGCGTTTTGGGGACATATGCAGATACCTAACTTTTAGCCATCTATGGAGTCATGCTTGGTGTCTCCGAAGCTTGCTTTTTTGACTTTTTTGTATGTCTATGAGGTCTTCCTGGGCCAGGAGGTGTGGATGTGGATGATTTAACTCGTGGGTTTTAACTCTGCAAAATGGTCTGTTGATGTACCAAAATTTATTTAGGAAACTCTTTAAGAAAATACTGCAGGCCCGACTGGTGTGGCTCAGTGGGTTGGTGGTGTCCCATACGCTGAAGGTCACAGGTTCGATTCCCAGTCGGGGCACAGGCCTGGGTTGCGGATTTGGTCCCCGGTCTGGTGTGAGAGGCAACAGATGAAGGTTTCTCTCTCACATCGATGGTTCTCTCCCTCCCTTCCCCACTCTCTAAAAATCATTAAGCATGTCCTTGGGCGAGAATTAAAAAAAAAAACAATACTGCCTCGGAAGCCCCGGGTGGGTTGTGGGAGTCTCCAACTCAAACTCCCCACGTGGCGTAGACGGTCCGCGTCAGGGAGACGGTTCTCCGGGTCCAGGGGGGTTTCCACTGTGGAGCTTGTCAGCACTCAGCCTTCCTGCAGCTCCTACAGTCCTTTCTGGAAGTGGCCACATGCGTCCACTTATCTGTTCCAACTGCGCCGATGCCCACCGGGCGCCAGACCCTGGCAGGCACCAGGGTTCCCAGGTCTCTGTGCTGCACAGTTGGGGACAGGACTGGGCAAAGTCAAACAGACGGGGAGGTCCGGGTCCCAGCCGAGGCCCCGGCCGCAAGTTCGCTGGCCTCGCTGGCCTGGGGTTCCTCCTCCCACGACGGCAGGACACTGTGTCTCCCCCAGGTGTCGTGAGGGTGAATGAGAAAACTCCGGTCAGGTGAGTGGCCTCGTGCCCAAGAACCAAGACAGCGTCAGGCTCTGACCTCGTCGGCGTCAGTATTGCTACACTTTGTAATTATTATGTTAACGGCAGAACCTGTTTGGCACCGTCTGTGTGGCTTTCACCCCGGACAGAATGTGGACTAGAGCTGTTTCCAATGGGCATCCTGTGCACAGTGGCAGTGACCACACCGTCTGTGCACACAGTGAACGCGGCTTGGTGTCGGTACAGAAACAGTTGCATCATGGGCAGCAGGAAAGAAGTGTCCAGAAAAGGGGTGCCTGGGGCCTGGCTTGGACTTGGAAGCTCCTAATTTTTAATTTTACAAGAGCATCACACCTACACCTGGGATGTGTTTGGAACAGTTTATGCGGGAATGTGGTCGGTGAGGAGACAAACCTCACTCGCAGGCATGTGCCTCTACGAGCTCAATTCCAGCGGAAGTCCCGCTCCCTCCTCTTGTTTGCCGCGCCTTTTCCATGTCACAGGGAGGCAGACACTGCGGCATCAAGGGGTTTGAGGATAGATTCGCCCTCAGAGCAGCACAGCCGCTGGTTTGGGATCCCTCGTTTTACAAGGAGGTAGTTAATGACCATGGAGAAAGGAGGGACCAGAAAAGCAACTTCCAAAGGCACAGCGGCCTCTTCTGCGGGGCCCTCCCTGGGACGCCGAGTGTCGGGCCCTCCCGGGGAGGAGCCCTGGGTTCTGGCGTCTCAGATTCGGGAAGGCCCTGAGCAGCGGAGCGTCCCTTTGACAGGGAGGCACCTGCTGACAGGTCAGGACGCAGGCACAGGTAGTCCTGCTACCTTTCAAAGTGTTTTCTGCGTCTGTTCCAGAATCTATAACAACTTGCCGGAAGTCAAAAAGAAAAAAGAAGAGCAGAAGAAAAGGCTGATCTTACAGAGTAACAGACTCCGCGCAGAAGTCTTCAAAAAGGTGATGGCCCGGCTGCCGGCAGGGGCGGTGTGCGTGGGGCGCAGATGCCGACCCCAAACTTGACCTCTTTGTGTCTTCCCCCAGCAACTGCTAGACCAGCTCCTTCAGAGGAATGCCGTCTGACCGCAGGCCACCCCGCCGACCTGCCGCCTGGACCTGGATTGGCTTCAGACGCTGCGTAACCCATTAAACTTAGCGTGAGCTACGTGACGTCAAGTACTTATTCCACTTTTTTAATTTTATTTTTTCATAAAGGAAAACCTAGTTTCCCGAATTGCTGACCCAAACCAAGCAAAAATGGTGACATTTGGGGAAGTGGGTCAGCAGATGGGTGGGGGTCACGTCACAGAACCCACCAGGTCCCCTCCCTTCTTCTGAATTTTCCCCTTTGCTTCCGATGTCCCCTCCCTGCCCCCCATTCCCACTTAGGCAGAAGGGCTTTGCGCACCCACGTGCAAATTGCCCCATCAAATTGCTGGGGCCTGAGCACCTCACTTTTGCAGTACCAACCCCAGCTTCCAGCAGCTCCGCAAACCCGGCCTCCGGGTCACCGCACGGTGTGTTTAAAATCTCTCTGGACGTGTGCGCCGCGTGGTGCTGGGGGCTGTGCCCGAGAGCAGGGAGCAAGGGGCCTGGTGCCTGCGGCCTGAGGTGGGGGCCAGGCAGCCCTCACTGCTCCACCCATTCCCCCCCTTTCTTCATTTAGCAAGTCTGTTTCCATGGCCCCTGTCAGGGCAGAATCCGCTGAAAATAACTGGAGGCGACCTCAGTGTGCCCTGCACCCCCACCGTCCCCACCCCCCACCATGCCCACCTCCCCACGATGACACCCTCCCACTGCTGTCCCCAAAGAAGGGCTGCCTTGCTGAAGATGGCCCCCCAGCTTCAAGGCTGCCTGCAGTGTGTCCTTGCAACATTTACTGTGTTTATAAACGTGTGTTTGGGGAGCTAAGAACCTTCTAGTTTTTATCAAAAATGGAAATAAATGCAGTTATTTTTAAAAAGTCAAACATTGCTCTGTGATGTTTCGTGTTGGGAACAGAGCAGCTCAGTGAGAAGCGCCGTGAGGCCCAGCAGGAGCCTCCGACCTGCCACTCGCCGCCCCTGGCACCAGCGCAGGAGTCTGGGCCGCCCCGACGCCGGGGGAAGAGGCCGCCTCCCAGAGATCCTGGAAAGAAACCACGCAAAGCAAGGCTCGGGGTTCCAAAGGCCCCCAATCCCACTGGGAGGCTCCCCAGGAGAGAGAAGGAAGCTCGGGGGTGAGCGGTGACACCTGTCCCCGCCCCTCCGCCCACCGCTGCACACCTGGCCCCTTTGCTGGGAGCCGCCGGTCCTCTCCCAACACCTCCCCCTCCCCTGCCTGCCCTCCCCTGGGGAGGGGCACGTTGGACGTGTTGCATCGGAACCCGGACCGTCTGCCCTCCCGAGACCATCTCACTGTGTGATGAGGCAGCCACTCCAGAGTTGCTGCTTGGTCTGCACAGTTAGGATCCAGCCGGGAGCAAGAAACCACACAGGAACTTGAACAGGAAAGTTGATTGTGTGTAATTATTAACAAAAACAGAGGATTGGAGTGAAAGGGGATTGGCTGGTGGGAAGGGAATGGGAAATCATGCAGGGGAGAAGAGGAGACAGAAGGACCAGCATTGCCCCCAGAAAGAGCACCCCAAGCCCTGGTCTGCAGTCTAGATATGGAGGAGAGGACAAAGCTGTGGTTCAGCAGGTGACAGAGAAGTTTCCATGGTGCCATCTCGATAGAACTGGCCGGAAATCCACCCTTCGGGATGCGCAGGGAGCTGGCTCACCCGAGGCCCCGCAGCGTTGGGGCTGCAGGAGGGAGGGGCTGCGGCAGAAAGCAGCCGGCAGGGGTGCTGCTCAGTGCAGGGACCTGCTGAGCAACTGTCTCAGGTCCGGGAAGCCACACCCCTCTCCTCCTGCGGTGTCCTCCAGCTCCCTGTCCTAACAGAGCTGGGCGTCCTGCAGTGGTCAGAGGAACGCCATTCACAGCTCCCGGATCCATGCTAGCCGAGCCGGCAAAACAGGTGACTTGGGGGACAAGAGAGACCATGAGTCCAACCACTGGCCCACAGCTTCTGTGAGCTTGCTGCCGTCCCCGATCCATGAAGTGGGGGCACTTAGGGTACCCCCTCCCTAGGGCTGTTGTGGGCTAGAATAACGCAATGTGAGCTGAGAGCTTAGCAGAACCACGAGCCCAAACCAAGCACAGGTGGATGTTCCCTGCCGCAGGCAAGCAGGCGCAGAAGGGGGCGTGTCCTCCGAAGCCCTGGGGTGCCATAAGCGCTCAGCTTGGCAGGAGCAAGGGGAGCCAGGAAGCCCCCAGAATGCCTGGATGTTACCTCGGCAGAAATCAGTCCCAGGAACAGGGTGCTTTGTGAACAGACTGTCCGTCCCCAGCTCCTCTTCTATCTTAGGATCAATCTCAACAGCTCAACCTAGCTCACCCTTCAGGTTAATTCTGGTGTTTCTGAACCCATCAGGCCTCTTCCAGGCTGTTTCACTGAACTTCTGTTGATGTTTTTAACAGTTGACTGAAAGCATTTTAAATCAAATCAATATCGGTTCCAGAAATTCTAAAGATCCCGCTGTACCTTTTGTTGTCATTATTACTTGAAGTTTTTCAGAGAGTTTCAAAAGCTTCTCCTAACCAGTCATTGGAAGTCAGGGCCCATCCGCTTCTAGACTCTTCTGTGGCACTTCCTGAGACTTAGGTTTCTGTCCGCTGACGTCTGAATGTTTCAGAACGTTGTGTTCTGGAGCTAACACTCCGTGAAGATTCTACCTCCTTTGCAACTCTGACACCAAGTCCCAGAATTTAAAGAATCAATACGCGTCAACTTGAGATTAAATGCCACTGAAGAATGAATAATGTACTCTCTTTCTCTCTGCATTTTCTGCTTTTAAAAAAGTCGCCCATCCTCCTACCCCACCCCCCGCCATGGCAACCATCAGCTTCTCTGTGTCTATGGATCTGTTTCTGCTTCATTTGTTTGTTTTGTTCTTTAGATTCCACGTATAAGGGAGATATTTCTCCTCCTCTGACTTATTTCACTCAGCATAATGCCCTCTATCTCCCTTCATGTTGTCACAAGTGGCAAGATTTCATTCTTTTTTTATAGCTGAGTAATACTCCGTTTTGTGTGTGTGCATCAATCTGTTTCATCCTCTTGTCCATCGATGGCCACTTGGAGTCACTTCTGTCTGTCGACTGTCGTAAATAACACTGCAGTGAACATGGCAGTGACTGTATCTTTTCGAATTAGTGTCTCTATTTTCTTCAGGTAAATTACCCAGAACTGGAACAGCTGGGTCACCCGTGGTACCTCTCTTGTTAATGGTTTGCGGAACCTTTGTGCCGTTTTTCTTAGGGGCTACACCCATTTACCCTCCCACAAGCACCACACATGGATGCCCTTTGCTCCCCACCCTTGCCAACACCCACTACTTGCCGCTGCTTCGCTGGAGGCCTACAGAATGCACCTCCAAGGGCAGCTCCTAACGAGGGGGACTGAGGTGGAAACCGGGCAGGAGAGGACAAGGTCTTGTCTGTGCCGTCCTGTGAACAGCCAGCCCAGGACAAGGCGGCAAAGGGAAGTTTTGGTCTCTGCTACACTGATATTTTTCCCTCTTGCCGTTGTAGCTTTTTATTGTTTGTTCTTTTTTTATTGCTGATGAGTGAATTTTCAATATCCAGTGTTGTTTTCTTTTATAATATGGAGGTAAAGGCTTGAGCTATAACCACTTTCTCCCCAGAACTGGTCACCCATTTGCTGAATCCTCTGGTTAAAATCAGACTGCAGGGCGCAGACTTCAGAATTTTGAAATTCTAACTAGAACTTACCGTTGGAACTTGAACGATCAAATTCTGTCCTGGAGCTGATATTTTCACACCTGGCTATGTTTGGGGTCTGGCATGGAGCCAGCCCACCTCGAGGCAGTGGACAGCGGAGGCGCAGTCTGCAGCGGGCCCTCGGGGGCTTGGACCAAGCGGCGTTTGGAGCGATTTGAAACGGACCGGCAGCAACGGCTCTAGGCTGCCTTTGCCGTGGTCTGCATGACCTCATGTCCAGAAATTCCTATTTTGGTCACTTGTCCTCCCTGCCAGCTGGTAATGGAATAATGGAAAATCGCCTGGGTTTCTTCGCTAGCACCGATCGCCAGCCGCGCTTCCTGGAAGCTGCGCGCCCCGAGTGAGTCAGCAAATGCTTGCTCAGACGGGGCGAAGCTCTTTGGAAGGACTAGGTGAGAGAGAGCCCGCGGCTACAGAGCAGTTGACAGCCTCATTCCTTGAGAAGTTCTCCCATTTCAACACACGTCGGTGCCGGAACGGCGGGCTGTGGCGGGTGTCCGACTGGGTCTGATGACCAGCAGGCTGAGCGCGAGGTGGGCCAGGTGCAGAGTGAGAAGGGGGGGCGGTGCATGACGTGCCACCCAACTGGGTGGGGGAGCTGTGGGTTAAATGCAACAGAAAAGTGATCCGCGGTGTGTCTGTGCGAGCGGGCTAGTGTGCGTGCTGAAAGCAGAGGAAACGCTCTGCAAAGAGGCTTGAAGGGGTCTATCAGCGGACGGTGGTCCATTGCAGGGCTCCCTGTGTCTGTACTTCCATCAGTACTTGGTAATGACCCATGCACGGCGAGCTGAATAGAAACCCCCTGGAGTGGGCTGTCACTGAGCTGAGCCAGCCGCCCCAGGATGAAGCGCTTAGGGAAGCCGGGCAGCCTTCCCTGTCTGTCCCAGGCCCACAGGCCCATCAGGAGATTCCTCACCCCCCCACCCCGCCCCACTTTCTGCTCACAGTCTGGCTGCTGGGCTGGGAGTCGAAGCTCTCCGTGCAAATGTTTTCTGCACATGGAATGAAGCAGCGGCGTTGGCAAGTCTCCTCAGAACGGAGGGTTTTCTCAGTTCCTGTCGGCTGCCTCAGCTCTGATCCCCAGACCCCAGGAGACTGTCTGAGGCAGTTGTCTGGGGCGGGGGGGGGAGGAGGGAGGCTTGGAAATCCTTCCATTTTTTTCTTGCTGCTCAGAGAAGGTTTTGACGCCCACGTTCTGGATGCTGCTCTTACCTGCCAGGTGGCGGCAGGAGAACGGAAATGGGACTTCAGGCCTGGGCCCTGGTCTCAGACCTCGGCACATCAGAGAGTCCGAGGGGGCGGGCGGGTGGGTGGGGGGAGGGAGAGACTTTATATGCCTCTGGGATCTTCAGAAGTGCTGGGCGATTCTTATCAAAGCTGAAAAGGGAAGAGAAGGGTGTTTATGCTCTGCATTGCAGCTGAGGAAAAATTAGGAATTCGCATCTTTTCCGTGAGACCACCAGCAGGACTGAAAGACGGAGGACAGTGTCCTGCCGGTGGCTGTCTGAGGGTTCTGCCCTCGAGAAGTGTCTGTACTTTGCTGACATGCCCGAGGCGCAGCAGCAGCTGTCACCGAGGTCAGGGAAAAGACGTCGCGCCTGCTGCCCATGTTCCCCGCCTGAGACATACGATGCTTTTCATCCCAGCCCAGGAGGCAGCCGGCTCGCCTGCCCACGGATGTCAGCGAGGGGGACACTGTAAATCTCTTCACTGCTGCTGATTTCTGCAGACCTGACCCCACGCCGCGTGTGACCTCCTCCGAGTGTCCTCGTGCCGGAAGTCGTTTTGCACGGAGCAAAGGAATCGGCGGCAGCAGGCTGAGTCTCGGTTCCGTGAGGCCAAACGCGTGTTTAATATTAACGGCTGCTGTGCGCCCGTGCAGAGGGTTTGTGTTTGCGTCTGTTCGGAAGTGCACCTGAAGGCCGCTTAGGCCGGACGTGGTTAACTACGCTGTCATAATTACAGTTCCGGGTCCTGCTCTGTCTGCTGGAACGTTGGTTAAATCAGAATGACACGGTGACTCGAGATCTTCTGCCGGGGCAGCCCGTGACGTTCCATTAGCAAGGCAGAGGTTTCTCTGGCACACTTTCTCACGGACCCAACCAGAGCGCGTGGAC